ATCCATTTTTTAATGTCAATTATCTTTTTTCTATTTGTTACACGAAAGATTCGGGAATGAAAATGAACTGCAATAACACTGACAAATGAAAAGTATATATTATACGAGAGTACAAAAAAAAGAACATAGGCGCGATCAAGCAAACACGTGTATACGTAAGAGCGCCGGTGAACATAACATGAGAACTGAGAAGAATAATAATAATACGGTGTGAATATCGCTAATAGAGGCACCTGCATCGTAGCGGGGTCCGATGCGATATCGGCGGAAGCCAAAAGAAAATATAATTGGCGCGAAAGTCAAAAAGAATGTTTCAACACTATTGATTTCCTGTTATCATATGTGAGAACTATCATTTGTTCATAGATTACAAAAAAAAATGGATAACAAATATACGGTATAGCGTGCAATGAGATAAAGTGAGATTTCGCCATATCGGGCCGTGTTACGCGTTATATGTGGGGCTTCTTCAATATGCGATGTCCCTGAACGCGCGAAATTGCGACTATGGGTGCGTTCCACTTAACGCCCGCAACGCTCCTAGGATCATTTTATCCTTGTTTTTCATCGAAAGTTAAACGAGGATAAAATGATTCTAGGAGCGTTGCGGGCGTTAAGTGGAACGCACCCTATGTACTTGGTGAACCTTTCCCGTTCAAAATTTACAACAACCTCGACATTTTGGCATTTGGATTTTTGTCTCAAAATAATTTCAAGAGTCTGTTATTAACGGCTGCCATTAACGGCTGGTACGGTAAGTCTGAGACACCCAGTATATATTTATTGATTTATATATAATATTATAGAGTATATATTATAGAGTAAGAAACTTTGCAGACACCTTTGATTGAATAAATAAATAAAAAAATTATGTTGTAGGCTCTTCTATTATTCAATAATATATTAGGTTGTCCCAAAAGTTCTTTTCGTTTTCTTACTAAAAATTAAATATTCAACCTCCCGTTCTACCCCCTTAAAATCTGGAGTAATATTCTGTGCTCTAAAAAGTAAGTGATATCTCACAAAAATTCATAAATGATAAGGTCTGGCCAAGTTCCAAAAAAAAACACTCCAATATGTTTATATTTTAATAATTATCTAAATTTTTAATATATTACCAACATGAAAAGTAACTGATTACTATGATTACTATTAATATTACTTTTATTACTATTACTATTAATATTACCTTCTGATTACTATTTATTCCTTTCTTTAAAAAATTCTCTTTGTGATAAAAAATTTCACTCTTTGACATAAAAAATCACCTCGAATATTTTGCTAGTAAATCAAAGACATTTTGGAAAAATGGCATCATGAGGCTTCCGGAGAGATGGAGAAAGGTGGTAGAGCAGAATGGCTCGTATATACTTCAATAAATTGTGTCGTTCATAAAAAGTTGAGTACTTAATTTTTAGTAAGAAAACGAAGAGGACTTTTGGAACAACCTAATATTAGTAGTGCAACAATTCAGACAGCACACATGTCCAAAATACATCCAAAGGATATCCAGAGAACGGCTTGTCGTTCCAAAAACGTCTTCAGGATATCCTCTAGACATCTTTTGAATATGTTGTGCTGTCTAGGAAGCTATGAGAGCCGGAACTGGGTTTTAATACTCAATTTTTCATAACAACAATCTATTAACATATGTTTCGGCCGTCGGCTTTGGTCATCCTCAGTACATACAAACAATTATCTAACTTGACGCATATATTCTTAAAATCCGCATGCAATTCAGAAATAATGTGATACGTTCGCAAACAATTTTTTGTTTATTATTGTAAAAAACAGTGAATAAGAACAAAGTAGTATCCTCAATAATTCTTCAATTGTAACTGTAGGATGTAACAGAGTTAAAAAATGTCAGATATAAAAAACAATTCTAGAAACATACCAACAATGTCGCCGCATCCTTTAATTAATATAGGAGTACACAAATTTCTAATAATGCTCGTCAATGTCATCCAGTGAACGTCAATAAATAAATAAATAAACTTACATAAATAAAGTCAATTAAAATATAAGATATTATCGGAAGAATAAAACTAGATGGAAAACAGAAACGTACCTTAAACCAGTCAAATAATTGCACAAATGTCACCATTCTAAAATTATATTAATAAATAGTCTTTAAATTATGTTAATTTACTCCACGTGTATTCACATATAATAAATTCACTATTATATCATGAATTTTCTAACATGTGTGTATTTATTAACGTTCGGAGAAGGACAACGGAATATGAACTAAGTGAGAATCAACAAAAAAGAAACAGGAAAGCAAAAATTATATAAAGAGGGGCTTTACAGAGTGGGGAATATCCTAAGTACAGGCAGATGTGTCTGGTAAAAGTTCGGTGTCGCTTTGTTTAATCAGTTTTGTATTTTGCCTTTTTATATATAACATCTCAGAAATCAACCTTTTACTGCATGAATGTTCTCTGTCTAATATTTCAACATTATCTGATTTAAATTCATGATTATGATCCATTTTATGGTACAAAATTACTGAAAGGGAACCAAATCTTTTATTTATATGCGATTGATGTTCACGAATCCTAGTTCTTAATTGTCTTTTCGTCTGGCCAATACGTTGCATCACAGTCATGACAAGAGATTTTATACATATACTACATCGCAATAATACATAGGATCTAATAAATCTTTACCAGTTTTTATGAACTTGTTCAATTTGTTATTACAAAAAAAGGCTAACTTAAAATCGTGTTTTTTTTCGTTACATGAGCAAAACTTTCAGATACCCCGTTCATATAAGGAACAGTAAAAAATCTTTTTTTGTCTCCTTTTTTTTCACTTTCCCTATTAGGAATCATATATATAAAATTTGATTATATTTCTATGTAATATTATATGTATATACAGGATGTCCGGTAACTCACGGACCAACGCTCGTGAGTGGATAAAGCACAAGTTAAACAGAACAAAAAAGTTCTTTACTATTTTGCAATTCTCGCAATAATTATTTAAGTATTAATTATTGCGAGAATTGCAAAATGGTAAAGAACTTTTTTGTTCTGTTTAACTTGTGCTTTATCCACTCACGAGCGTTGGTCCGTGAGTTACCGGACATCCTGTATATATAATATAAAAATAATCTCTGTTAAATAAATTGAATTGTTATTAAAAATATCGTAGTATGTAGTATGTAATAGTATGTAGAATGTATCGCAGTATATTAAAATTATTGAAAAAGAGTAAACTTTATGGAATTTTATATTTCAATTCATTGTCAGTCAAGTCGGGCCAAAAGTGTAGAGTCAGGGTGGAATGGATATATGTTGATTTATTTACTATTCATTCTTTCGTTCTATATATTTTTTTCTTATAATCACTACCCATACAGCACAAAATATCCTATATATCCTTAGGACATCTTGGGAAGATCTCGATGTCCTCAGAACATCCTTGGGGCACCGAAATATCCTCGATGTCCTGAGGATATCCTGATGTTTTGTACTGTATGGGTATAAGCAAAACTTCAAAGTAAATGTAATATGCGCTGATAGTTAACTTGCATATGACAACGCGTTGCATACGAAATACAGCGATTATTTATAATGGGTGTAATGTGGAGAGCATGTTTTAGCAACAACTTTAGCTAACTGTTCCTCAAATATATGATAACAATGACATTCCATTTTTATTCTTACTTATCGACTATTGCGCAACACAAGCACGGCATAAACGATGCGTCATACAGCGCGACGTATATAGTGCAACATTGATGACTCATTTCTGAAAAATGCGATTTCGAAATAACATAATAAAATCATATGATTGAATTCAGCGTAAAAATGCTACAACTTTTGTCATTATAGAAGTTTTGAAATTTGCAAAAATAATAACAAGGGGTGGGGATAAATTAAAAAATTTAACATTTTTTTAAAATCCAGCTAATACGCAGTTATAAAGCCAATACAACTTTTATTCGAAACATTTTTTTATATCTTTAATTGTTTTCATGATATTCACATAAAAAGAAAAAATTCGATTTCTTTCAAAGAAGTGTATCACCCCCTAAACCTTCGATTAGGCACGTATAAAAAAATACGTGTCACCTAAAATGGTATGTTTTACAACATATTTTAACGAGAATTAAATCGGAGGGGGGCACTTGTGACGGTTCCCTTGTTAGTTCATATTCCGTTGTCCTTCTCCGAACGTTAACCGATACGCACATGTTAGAAAATTCGGACCATGATATTATAGTGAATTTACTATATTTGAATACACGTAGAGTAAATTAACATAATTTAAAGACTATTTATTAATATAATTTTAGCATGGTAACATTTGTGCAATTATTTGACTGGTTTGAGATACGTTTTTATATTTTCCATCTAGTTTTATTCATCCGATAATATCTTATATTTTAATTATTGAATATCTTAATATTTTATCCAAATATTTTAATATCTTATATTTAATTATTTTATCTTTATCTTTATTTACGCAAGGTTGACATTCACTCGATGATACTGACAGATGAGCTTTATTAAAAATTCGTTTACTTTTATATTAATTAAAGGGTCCGGCGACATTGCTGATATATTTCTAAAATTGTTTCTTTACATTTGACATTTTTTAACTGTGTTACATCCTACAGTCACAATTGAAGAATTATTGAAAATACTACCTTGTTCTACCTTTTCTATCTAGACACTGTTTTTTAAAATAATAAACAAAAAGTTGGTTGCGAGCATATCACATTGTTTCTGAGTTGCGGGCAGATTTTAGGAATATATGCGTCAAATTAGATAATTATTTGTACACTGAGGATGGCCAAAGCCGTTGGCCGAAACGTATGTTAATAGATTGTTGTTAAGAAAAATTGAGCATTAAAACCCAGTTCCGGCTTCCATAGCTTGTTGTACTAATATAATATATTGATTGAATAAATTATTATTTTATGAAACTGTGATAAAATAATAATTAATTTAAGTATTGTAAAATCAGAGATTCGCATGCACATATACCTGATTCGAATATTTATAGTCATAATACGAAACGTGACCGTTATAAAATCCAAAGAACGAATCGAAACCCCGGTGCAAGGGGGTGTGCTGAGCTGTGTGATATCCCAAATGCCATTTTCCGATAAGTTTTGTCATGTACCCCAAGCCTCGTAGATATTCCGGTAAGATCCTCACGTTGAGAGGAAGTCCTCTGGGTTCACCGCCTTGTATATCTTCTCCCTGCATACCTGTGGTATGAGGCATTACAAAGTGTCGGTTACACACAAATGATAAAAAAACACGGTATGTGGACATCTTTATTCAATGCACGTTGAAGCGATAGGCAATTATATAATAACGAAGCACATATACAATGTGATGCAGTGACAAGTAGACGCAGTTTACATATGTTTTTACCATTGAGCTCTATATTGTATATGTATTGTAATGTGTAATATACGTAAAATGTAGTAATCTTTTTTTCTCACAAAAACAATAATAAAAATAGATACTAGTGTTTTCAGAAAACAAGCAAAAATGACAGTAAAATTTATTTCTTAATAGAAATTTCATCTAATATGCAAATAATATTCAGCAAATAATGATATAAAAAAACACTGTTTTACGACATAATGTATCAACATAAATACTGTTTCAAAACATTATTCATTCTGCAATGTGGTAAACGACACATACCAATACGTATCGGATATTGTCCGGTGAAAAAGGCAGTCCTGGAGGGTGTGCTGGATGGTAAGACATAATGTCTGTTTAGTATAATTCCATTATAGCCAAGAGCATCTATATTGGGAGTCGGAATTTGATCCGAGCCATGAAAACCGACGTCATTCCACCCCTGAAAATTGGAAGTATCTTTTCACTTTTATTGCGCAATACTTTATCACGTTTATAATATTTAAATAATTAATAATCACGCCAAAGTATAATAATAAAAACTTTGATATTCTTGTGAAAAAATATTCTCTGCGAAGATTTTATTTGTGATGTTACAACGGACGTCTATAAGTTATGTATCATATATGCATACATATATGCATATGTGCATAGAAGATATTTTTCTTGTTCACACGCGAAAGTGTACCGTCTAAGTGCAAAGTCTAATTAACGTATAAAAATATATAATAACATATAATACATATATAACGCATAATAACGTATAAAAATTAGGTGATCAAATTAAATTATAATTGACCTGTAGAAATTAACTTTAGTCGAATTGTTGGAATGAGTCACGATTTACGACGTACTTGTTGATCGCGGAGGCGGCATAGACAATACGTAAGCCACAATAATTAACTTAAGTAAGGATAATCCGAGATACTTTTGTGCGAACTAGAGTTGAATTAAATGTACAAAGAAGTGTAAGCAAGCGTAACATATATAAACAATAACTTATGTAAACGTGGATTATAATTATGTCTAGAGACAGTTATGTAAATTCTGTTTATATAAGATGGAAAAAATATTAAACATTTGCTTTCATTAAAATAGATGTGACAAAAATCTATTTAGGCTTTAATATCTCGCGTTTATATTTTAATATTTATAAATTTCAAGAATACTTAATAGAAAGAGTAGTTTACTTAAATCAAGCATCACGTCTAATAAACCGACTTATGATAAAATTTTATTAATTTTTGCAGCCTAACTATAAAAAAATTATTCTGTAGTAATATAGGGAAAGTTTTTATATCAAATTTTAGAATATTTTGAACAACTTAATGAAAAGTGGGTATATTATAGTTAATTTAAAATAAAGACTTTGGTGTATAATAGGTGGTAAAACATTCCGCATCAAAATTTCAAATCGATACACAATTTTTGTAATTTTAAATTATCTTAAACACATAGGCCGGTATTCATAGTCCGTTCTTATATTCAAGATCGTCTTAAATACGGACTTATATTCGCTCTCTTCGTCACACATAGATTGTGTCTGACGAAGAGAGCGAATATAAGTCTGTACTTAAGACAATCTTGAATATAAGAACGGACTATGAATACCGGCCATAGATATTGAATATATGATTTCAAAAATAAAAAAATGGGGGAAAATATCTACAAAAAACTACAAAAATATTATTAAATAACAAACAATTATGTTATGAATATTAAAAGTAAATACTAATGTTAAGTATTTTTTATCTCTTTATTGCATCTACACATTATAAATCACGAAATTGACGAGATTGACGAAGAAATTCAGAATTTGATTAACTATATCGGATTCTTTTTTTTTAATTAATAAATATGCATTACATTAACTAAACACAATTAAGATATCAGTATTTTTATTTTTATCAGTATCTTACCAAATCATCAGCCATAAAGATGATTATATGTGGCGCCGTTTCGTATGAGCCCAATGCGATTCCAAAACACAGGGTGAAACATGAAACAAATGTACTATCCCAAATTATCGTTAAACGCACCATCTTTGCGGCAATGTAGAGATTATCGGATACTTGAGATTGCTAAGAGAAAATCAACTTCACGATCGCGTAAAGAAGTCTTTTTTTCTTTGCGTCACTGACCAACGATATTCGCGCAAACAAAAGAAAGGTTCATCATAAAAGGTACGCGTAAACGTAATACATCAACGAGCTCTTACAGAATACAGAAGAGCAAAGAAAGACCAAAACACGTTTATATAGTCCACCCACGAAAGAACCCACTCATGAATGGATCCGTGAAAGGGAAGGGAAGATATACTAATGATCCCAGTAATAACGGAGACGGGTTTTAAATTGGGTTGCTTCTCATTTTACATCCTATTTTCTCTACTCGTCTAATTCCTTCTACGACTTACAACCGTGTAGAAGGTTTAGGAAACGTAACATAACGAACGTCGTAGAAGCGCTTCCGTTTTTACTAACAGTCTCTCGTCTGAGGTTTTATATTCCTCATGAAATGGTATAATAAGTAAAGCTTCATCTTTTGTAGAAAATAGGTGAATTAGAAAGTAAAAAAAGTTAATACAAATTTATTTTATAAAGCTGTAAATTTCTTTTCTTAATTGTAGAGAATTATCACAGAAACTTAATTTATTATATTTTGAAATATTTTTTGTACCTTTCTATTTCTTTATATTCTTTTTGATTGTTTTTTATTCAACGAAATTAATGCGTGGAATAAATGAGCTTTAAAACTAATGTTTGATTTCAGTATAAGCACTCTTCTGTGTTTTACTTTGTTTATTCGTTGACACAAAAATTTCAGTCACCATTGTGACTTTCTTCAATGTGTCTACAATATACCACATTCTTTATTAACGTAGTTATCGTATCACTTTTCTTTCTAATTAAATGCACATTAGATTAATGTAATGGCCCATTTTTATATCAGTGGTTAAAATATTTTTGATACATCCTTATTTGTCAAAATTTGTAATTGGAAATCGATCACAGCACTTAAAATATTTACAGATTTAGTATTACTTTGATTCTTTACGTATTAGTTGTTTAATTAAACATATTTCACTTTTAATATCTTTTCGTCTCGAAATGTTTATGCGGCTGTCGGCGTAATACTTAATTGGTTTTTATTCACTCCAATTCTTCAAATTAAATTTTCTAATAAAAATTAAATTTTTTTGCGATTTCTATTTCACAATTGTTTCAAATAATTTTTCCACATTTTTATTTGAAGTATTGTCTTGCAAGTTTCTAGACCATTTCTAGACTTTACATCTGGACATATAACATGACATATATGAAATAGAATTTGATACTACCGAAAAATATAATTCTTTGAAAAAAAAAGTACCTATAAAATGTAGAATAAATTTGATGTGTTGTAATTGCATAGTTAGTAATTACAGTTAGAAAAAAATAATGATCTACGACTTATTAAACACTCTGTATATTATGATAAATATAGACGCCCTTCGTCACCATCGTAAGAATTAATGTCACTGACATTGACGTAACACACTGATTAAGACATCTAAATAATTAGGAGCACTTCAACCGAGTGTCTAGTTAAATGAGCGCATACCTACAACCTACGATCTTGAGATCTTGACATCAAATATTGTAGAAATTTGTTAAAAACGTTGTTAAAAACTCGAACTTTAATTTATAATCTTAAAACAATATAGCAAATAACAAGAACATAAAAATTAGAAAAGAATAAATCGACAAAAATGTGCTACTCAAATTAAGTAATTAGCTAGGAGAAATACAGAAAATATGAAAATAAAAAGTATTATAAAAGAAATAGCAACGAAAAATGCAAATTGCAACAACAAATTTATTTAATCACATTTATATAATATTTAATAACTTATATACTCTAATAAAACAAAGTAATAATTTATATGTAAACATGCAATCATGCAACATTTTTTTACAAAGATCGAAGAACTAAAACATTTCTTCTCATTCTACACGTTCAGCTATAATACCAAAAACGTTACTCTTACCTAATAGTTTTTCTTACAAGATGTCTGCATTGAGTAATGTACGAAAATATGTAAAAATTTCAGTTGGAAAAATATAGATGAAAACAAATATCCCACATATCTAATATCTATTTCCAATTCTATAATACAAATTATAGAAAATTATCTGTTCAGAGAGTTGTACATAAACAACGTTATAATTGTATGAACGAGTTACTTTGACGATAAGATTTGTGCATTTCCATGGGTCAATTCGACAATGCAATTATATTATCAACATCTTGCATTTTATTTAAAGCGTGTAAATTGTCCCACCAAGTTAGTAATTTATGTTGATAAATCAAACGGAACCACGGTGTTAATGGTGTCACAGTTTTCACAAAGTTCTCAATCTCCGATCTAGACACCCATCGAATTTCGCTCACTTCATCAGGATTGGGATCTATGGTGACGTCCTTTTGCACAAACAGTACATAATCGATTTCGTGTTCGCCCCAACGATTGTCACTAACTGCTTCATAATAAATTCTTGTCAAGTAAAACAAATCAGAAGGTTTGATCTCCTCAATAGATATGCCTAACTCATAATTGAGTCTTCTTATTGCTGCTTTGCGTATGCCTATAGTATCTTGTTCTTCTGTTTCACAAGGAATCTCTGCTAACGGATGACTGCAGCACGTATTTGTATAATGATCTGGAAATGTCACCTAAAATAAACATATAAATATATTTAAAAATGTTGATTCCAAATTTACTATAGAACATCCTAGTACTACCTACTATAGTAATCCTAGTATAGATTTCAATATTTTATTAATAATAATTAATAATAATTAAAATTATAAATAAATATATAAATAATATAAATAAAATTATTAATATTAATATAAATATTAATAAAATATTAATAATAATAAAAAAATATTAATAAATATAAATATTAATAATAATTTTTAAAAATATGTATAAAATAAAGCATTTAATAAATCTTATTAAAATTAGAACCTATTTGCCTACTTATTTTTATTTATAAGATTAAAACTATTATAAATTTTGCTCTCTAATAAAACTGGTAATTAAGATATAATGACACAAAAGGCCCCACCTTACTACTGGATCGCTTTTGAAGTAACAACTCTCCCTTATTGTTAAACAGGAAAACACTAAATGCTCTGTGAAGTGGTACAGTTCCTTCCACATTAATTTCATGACAGAATTCTTTGGTAGCTTCGCCAATAGGTCTATCCAACTTGTCCACAAGTATACAACGCTCCTTCAAAGCAGCTCTCTGCAATGGTGCTATTTGCGCCATTCCATAATTTTTTTCTGCAGATGTTACTTTATACATGATGTTGCAGAATTTCCTGCAAACTCCTTGTATCATTACGACTAGTTGCACCTTTCAGTACTAAATACTCACTGACTGCAAACGAAACTGAAAAGAATATTTATCACACATAATAAAAAACCCAAATGGTAATGTATTCGCATTTAAATATAGCCTTGAATATAGTTACATGTTTCAACGAAAATTTGTTTAGAGCAAATTATCATAAAAATTCAAAAGATTAAATTCATACATACAGCAATACGTGATACTCCACATCGAAAAATATTCACTTGATGAAATGCTGAGCGATACTTTTACCTCGAAATGTTTAGAATACCGTTCTACTTTCCAAACAAAAAACACCAATCACGAACGAGCTTAGTAATTGTATATAATTATGAAAATAGTGATAAATACAGGTTACGAATCAGTCACTTATCATCGCTTATTGATCATTTATATGCCATAGCAAGCGCGTATATCTATTGATAATATATACCGAACAAGTCAGATTAATGTAACAGATAAAATTCAACGCATTGTGTAAAAAAACACGTCACATTAAGAATCGAGGACACATGTCTTCAGACCATTGAAATATATACCATACTGGAAGGCGCACAGGCTACCCCCTCCATTCGACAAAACGGTCAGACAAGGCAGTGACTCGGTACCGGATTTTTCTTTCTATCTCGTCTACTCTCGACTAATAGTAGCTGTGAACACGTGACCAAAACTGTTGGTTAGATAGAGAGATCCGGGTCCGAACAGCTATCTCCATCTGACCGGTCGAGAACAAAGGCGTGCTCGTTCCAGTATGGTATATATTTCAATGCTTCAGACATATTCGGATTTATGAGTGACATGACCATAGAGTAAAAATTTATGAGAATGCATTTATTCTATGGCCTATGTCTATAGTGTTTATGATTTTCTGCAGATGGCACTCGGAACAGAAAAGAATTGACGATTGTTTGTTATCTCGTCTCTGATCTTGTCAGTTTATGATCGTCAGTGTGAATTATGACCTTCGAGTATCTCATATTTGTTATTGCTTATTATGGTCTGTGATACTACGTAAATATGACGGAAAATTTGTAAAAAGATTTCGGTATGATTTCTACAAAAATTTCTTAAATTATGTAAGTTGCACTAATCTAGTATTAATTGATTAAACAAGTGTAAATTTTTTCTTACTTATATTAATTTATACATAGTGAACTGTTTGAAGGCAGTTTAGAGAAGAGAATCAGGTTGCAATTATACAAATACATTCTAATCATCGATATTTATCGTTTACAGCGAGAAAATGTACACTGATGTGAGATAAATGAATTTTTATCATTGCAAGGATTTCAAATAGAATTCAACGAAATCCTAGTCGTGCTTTCACGATATATTTTTGAGAATATAACAAATTTCCTGCTCCTTGTATTGATATCTTGTCGTGCATTAAAGTGTCGAATAATTGGAATTATGGCTGTGTCAATAAATGAGATTTGCGAGAATACGAAACTTGCACGTGAAATGGCATTAATGGGGAACTATGATACATCTGGTGTCTATTATCAAGGAGTTGTGCAACAAATACATAGATTACTCGCAACTATAGCAGACACAACTCGTAAGGCAAAGTGGCAGATTGTACAACACCAGATCGTCGAAGAATTCGAGAAAGTAAAAGCTACATCCAACACACTGCAACTTTTTAAAGTAGATACTCATGGAGAAAGACTACTTGGTAGTGTAATTAAAATAAATCTTATAAAATTATTTTGGATGAAACTTACAGTACAACTTTTTGAATATTAGGAACGTCTTGTTTGTCATTTGAAGAACCAACGCGAGATCCTGCTTTATGGTCTTACAGCAATTCAGATTCTTCCTGGAATCAGACAATAGCTAGAGATCCTGATGTATGGTCACCTTTAACTCCAGCAGAACAAAAGTATTGATATACAAATTTATGGTTTTATTAACACATTTAATGGTTTTATTAATTTGCTATGTTAGGTATCTAAACTTTTTTTAGAAAAATATTTTTATTTTTTTGATTAAATTACTACATATTCTTTTATAAAAAAAAAAGTAATTAATTACTTCATTATTTTTGTCAGAAATTCAAGGCAACAAAAGGTTCAACAGAAACAGCAAAACCGAACAAATACTAAAAAATCTCTTATTACAACTAAAAAACCAGATAGCAGAATTACTAATAAAAAGGATGACAAAAAAACTGCAAAGAAAGATGATACAAGCAAGGTTACTTTATTGATTACATTTTAATTTTATGATTATGAATATTAACATAAATCAATAACTAATTACAGGATAAGTCAGAAACAGAAAAAGATGATGTTGAACTGGAAGAACGTAAATTTGAACCATCTTCTAATGATAAAGATCTTGTAGAAATATTGGGTAATATTACTATCAAAGTCATTATTTAAAAATGCATACTGGTGAAAAAAATATGAAAAGATTGTATGTTGATACTTGATATTAACATTGCAGAAAGAGACATTGTACAAAAAAATCCAAACATTCATTGGGATGATATAGCAGATTTACATGAAGCAAAGAGATTACTGGAAGAAGCAGTTGTGCTTCCAATGTGGATGCCTGACTTTTTCAAGGTGTATCTCCTTGTTTGATTTATGGTAAATTGTAAATATATTATTCATAATATTAATGTAAATGTAAATTATATTTTCAGGGAATTAGACGACCTTGGAAAGGAGTACTTATGGTTGGGCCACCAGGCACAGGCAAAACTATGCTTGCAAAGGCTGTTGCAACAGAATGCGGTACAACGTTTTTTAATGTCTCGTCTTCCACATTGACATCAAAATATAGGGGCGAATCGGAAAAACTCGTTCGATTGTTATTTGAGATGGTAAAATAATCTTTTAGTAACATATCAGCAATAATCTTAAATAAATTTTTGACTGTTGATTTATGTTAATATAAAAAACATTATATTTTATTTCATGGGGATACACAGGCTAGATTTTATGCACCTAGTACGATCTTTATTGATGAAATTGATTCTCTATGCTCTAGAAGAGGATCTGAATCAGAACACGAAGCTTCCCGTCGCGTTAAGTCCGAACTTCTTGTTCAAATGGACGGAATAAGCTCCAATAGGTAAAACATGTATAATATTGTTATTTTATTGATCATAATATAAGAAAGGATATCAAACTCTCTCTCTCTTTTCTCTTTTGTTTTATGTAGTGAAGATCCAAGTAAAGTAGTAATGGTATTAGCAGCAACAAACTTTCCATGGGATATCGACGAGGCTCTAAGAAGACGCCTGGAGAAACGTATCTACATTCCACTACCTAATCGTAAGTCTTAATAAACTTTAATCTTGCAACACAATGTATGATGTATTCCAATTCTTTATAAAATTTACTTTATTGATTTGTGTTATGCAGATGAAGGCAGAGAAGCATTGTTAAGGATAAACCTTCGTGAAGTCAAAGTTGATTTGTCTGTAAACCTGTCAGATATTGCAAAAAAACTTGAAGGTTATTCTGGCGCAGATATTACAAACGTTTGCAGGTAAGTAGAAATTGTTGTACCTTATGTAAGTTTTATAATTATTTATATGTCATTCATCAACTAGGGATGCTTCTATGATGTTGATGAGAAAGAAAATCGCGGGTCTTAGACCTGATCAGATAAGGCAATTACCAAAGGAAGAATTAGATTTGCCCGTATCTGCTGGCGATTTTGATGAAGCTGTTGAAAGATGTAACAAAAGTGTTTCTCAGGAGGATTTAGAAAAATATGAAAAATGGATGAGTGAATTTGGCTCATCTTGATATCATTCTGTCAAGAAAAACATTTATTGACAAGTTTGTTTCTACGACACAATTAAAATATTATATTTTCTTCAACACATATAAAAAACAGAGAGCTTCTTAAAACTTTATAACTCCTAAGACTACAGTTCTCTGTACTTGAGATTTTAAAAAAATCAAATTGGAAAATAAGACTGTATGGAGATAGAAATAATACGAGATAAAACTTGGATAATATTTCTAATCTCAACTGTAACACTAAAGACTTAACTTGCAGTAACAAATTACTTGTAATTAGTAAAACTTTTAATCAATAATATATTATATTAATCAAGTTTAAGTATAAACCTTATGTATAGCAATATAATTAAAAAAATATCTAGATATTAATATTTAATAATTAACATATTATATATATTTTTAATCTTTCTTTGGAGCGCAACCTTCTTTTCGTAATTTTTTCGTTTCCTCGTCTATATTTTTGGAGTCCTTTGGTGCTTTATAATTGGAAACATGGTCCACTCGTATTACTCTACCTAAAATCTACAAAAGAACAAATTTTCTGTATTGAAATATTTTAAGCAATAATTTAAAAACTTCTATCATATGCACGCACGCACGCACGCACGCACACACGCACACGCACGCACACACACACACACAAGGTGTAACTCGGAATAACTACGGCAAATCTCGTGAACAGATAGAAGAGAGTAAACCGAACAGAAAAGTCTTTTGCTGTTTTGCAAATTTCGCGTTAGTTATTAAGATATTAATTAAAAACATTGGGCAAATAAACGCGTGTCTTGCGTGACTGATTAAACCATAGGATATACGCTTTAGAATATATGCATGACAGCGGTGAGTGTCACACAACAATGAAAAATTTGGTCGGTCGGCGAAAATAAAAGTAAGTAAACGGGCAGAAGTTTTTTTACCGTGCGACACTTGCCTCTGCCACACTTAGAATACATCTCACACAGTCCAGCTACATGAAACACACACTTATTCACCAATCCTTTTTAATTAATTTCTCTACTTAATTATTACAAAAATTGCAAAACAACAAAGAATTTTCTTGGTCAACTTACTTTTCTCTACTTGCTCACAAGCATTATCGTGATTATTCTGAGACACCTTGTGTGTGTGTGTCATTTTGACTTTTCTGGTGTGTCTTTAATATTGTTAACAAATGAAAACATTTATCATATTACTATCTTGTGTTTTTATTAATAAGATTAACTTTATATTCTACCTTTACACCATTAAAATTATCAACTGCTAAAATAGTACTCCTTTGATCTTCATAACATAAGAAGCCATATCCCTTTTGTTTTCCAGTATCTTTATCTCTAATGAGATTTATATGTACTACTTCACCATACCTACAATTATATTTATTATAAACTGCAATTGACTACACATATGTATATCAATTATAATTATAATTTGAATATAATTATAATATAATTTTATATAAATTCGAACTTACTGAGAGAAAATTGCAATAACATCACCTTCTGTTAAGTCATATGGTAAACCACCAATAAAAATCCATGCACTATCTTTATATTGATCATGCCAAGATGTTTTATTGCCACTTTGTAATTCTTGCTCAGTGAGCTTTTTTATATTTTTAACATTACTGAAAATATAAATATTACTACGATAATATCTCTACTAATTCATAAATTAAAAATTATTAAAATTTAATTAATATAAATTTAAAGTTTAAAATACAACATACAATATATATATATTAGTCAAATTTTTTTTCTTTATATTTATGTCTAATGTTTCTTAAATATGTAAATTATAATTGAAAAATACATACGTTAAAGGATTCATTGCGAATGACGATGCCTAAATATTGCAAAAATACATGTAATTAATAAATTTCAATTTTCTTAGAATATTTTAAACTACTGTCAATAAATTGTATGATATTAAGAATATATATATAAACGTTGTACAAACATAATTTTATTACAAATTAACAACATATTTTTTTTTATTTAGGTCTTTAATGAATAGAAATAACTATTCAATATTAGAAATAGGAAATTAAATTGTTTCATTTCGAAACAAGAAAATGGAATAGATTAACGCATCATGAGTTAGGAATTAAGAATTGGGAATAATTAATCTATTTCATTCTCTTGTTTAAAGTAAAATAAATTGTTCTTAATATTTAACATTTATTTTTATTTCTAATATTTTTTATTATGCATTGGGTCTAACCTCTCTCATCAAATCTAACATACCTTTTCTTCTTCTATAAACTAGTACCGGACAGGCTAAGAGTCTTCGCAGAATGACTGATTTATCAGTTCAAGTCAAAAAAATAAATATATTGTTAGTTTATTGTGTTAGTTTATCGCCTTTGTATACATATGTTTATTTCTTGCAAACGCTGATTCCTGAGGTTCCTGAGGGTGCCGTCACATACAGCCCGTAATCCGTAATCCGCACCGAAAGTCCGCAAAAGTTACTAGGTATTTCGTCCGTAACGTTACGTGTGTTTTTGGTTGCGTTCCGTTTTGCGCATAGCACGCATCGTTCGCATCGTTAATGGGCGCGTTCAGCAGAACAAATCGCTTGGTAACAATCGAACGTGATTGGCTCTTACTTTTAGAACCAACAAATCAACGTTAAGTGTTGACTAGACGACAATTCAGCAGTTGTTCTGCTGAACGCGGCCAATGCTTAGCGCATTGGCTGCGTTTCGTTTCATTATGCGCATGATACATGCTTTGAAACGGAACGATATTGAACGCATTAGAAGCGGAAAATCAAAATGGATTCCACAATAAATTGCGCTATCAATGTGACAATGTTTTTAATTGATGAAATGAGTGACAGTAATAGTAGTGAATCATCAATGACTCTTCCATTATGACTCTTCCTATTTTGACACTTTTTACAATATCGCTATCAATCGCCATATGCAATTACGCAATCGCATGGAACGCATAAGGCCGGAGCACAGACTTTTACATAAAGCATAACGCATAAGCATAAGGAAATTGATTGGTCTCTATATAAGCATAAGCAAATGCATAAGGAAATGGACCAATCAATTTCCTTATGCGT